TTCAAGTAAACTGTTACATAAAATGTTAACCAGTTCAATTATTCTATTTTACTGTGAGGTATCATTTATCACTCAAAGCAAGATACTTTGAAAAAAGGGATACAGAAAAAAGGGATACAGTCACAATCAAACCTAGATGGCACAGAAAACGCAGGCCACCCAGTCATCCCAATCACGCTCCAAATATAAAAACTGAGGAATAAAGTTTGTTTTCTCCTTTAAGTCAAGTACCTAAAAGTCAAAATAAACTTTCCCCATAAGAACTAAAGACTGGGGGCCTCCCTGGTGGCGCATGGGGTTAAGACACAACCTGTGACGCTCACTGCAGCACAAGTTCGATTCCCGGCCAGGGAGCAAGCCATGTGGTGCAGCAGACCTCTCCTGTCTCGCCTACTGCTCCCCTCAGCAGTGTATTTCAGTCAATCTGCCTGTTCTGTTCCCCACTCTGTCTCTGGTGAACCCTCTCACCCCCCACACCTCTGGCCTGTACCCCAGTTCTTGTATGTATAAATAAATCTTTAAAAACAAACAAACAAACAAAAACTAGAGACTGCAGCCCAGAGAGACAAAGAGATGTGTCCAGAGTCACACTGTGAACTAGAGGCTGGTATTAGAAGTCAGAATCCAAACTATTTAGTACCGTTTTTGTTCTTTTTTAAATTTTTTTTTTTTCTACAAAAACATTCTCAAAAAGGTGATCTTCAACTAACTAAAAGGTAAAAAATACAATGCCAAATGCTTACAAAAGCAGACTCTTGATGGATCAATCCACACATATATATAGTTCTATACCCTTGTATCAAACACTTTCCCACATAGTGGACAACTTCCAATTTGGAAGATCTTTCTGTATCAGAGACTTTGGACTATAGACATAAGACTTTATCTGTATGCATGTGTCAGAATCTAATAAGCAAAAACTGGCCCTTTAAAAGAAAAGCATACACACAATAATGCACTTAGCCTAGCTCCCAAGTGTTCACTCTTTCAGACCACCTCACCTCTCTGAACCAATCCTTCAGAGCCACCTATATGCTCCTCAATGAACAGCAAAAGATATGGGGATTCCCCAGAGAAGCCACGGCTATTAGCTGACTAAAGAATCTGCATGTCTCCATCATACATATCCCTATGTATTATCCCATACAGCCAACTGAAATCAGCAGAAGCATTAAATTTCAGAAATATACAATGCTGTACTTCTGATTAAAAGAAAATTTGCCAGGGCCTCCCTGATGGTGCAGGGGTTAAAGACAGTGCTATCAAGCTATCACCAGCCACTGCTGCACGAGTTCGATTCTGTCCTGCTAGGGAGCAACCCACATGGTGCAGGCCTCTCTCCTGTCTCGCCAGCAGCTCCCCTCAGCAGTGAATTTCAGTAGATCTGCCTGCTCTGCTCCCACTCACTCTGGTGAATCCCCTCACCCCTGCACCTCTGGCCTGCACCCCAGTTCTTGTATGCATAAATAAATACATCTTTAAAAAAAATTAAAGAAAATTTGCCAGTCCAACTAACTTTCTAACATGGAGAAAATGTAAAGGTTTTAGAATCATATTAACCTATATTTGAATCTTATCTTTGCCACTTACAGGTTAACTGGGCAAGAGTTTTAAAGACTACAGCAAAGCGGTGCAATGCCTAACATAATAGGAACTCATTAAGACACTGATTTTTACCTAAAGATTCCAATTGGATACAAACTTTCTAAAGCAATTGATGATTATAATCTGTTTTAGGAGAGTCTAACTGGAATACCTACGGGATTATAGGTTCACCCCACAATTGCCCGTGAAAGTTAGCAATCAAGGTAAAAGCAGATCACAAAATATACTAGCAGATACGAAAAAGTAGGGGACCCCTTCTTTGAAGCTATGGGCAGCCTGAGTTAGATGCCAAACCACAAGGCCAGGGAGCTAAACCACATGGCACAGCAGACCTCTTTTGTCTTGCCCACTGCTCGCCTAGGCAGTGTATTTCAGTAGATTGGCCTCTCCTGCTCCTCCTCTCTCTCTCTGGTGAATCCTCTCCCCACACCCTCTGGCCTATACCCCAGCTCATGTGTACATAAGTTAAAAAAAACTTTAGGGGGCCTCCCTGGTGGCGTGCAAGGGGTTAAGCATAGCACTAGGAAGCTATCCGCAGCCTCTGCAGCTTGAGTTCAATCCCCAGCTGGCCAGGGAGCTACCCACATGGCACAGCAAACCTCTCCTGTCTTGCCCACTGCTCCCCTCAGCAGTGTATTTTAGTCTGCCTATTCTGTTCCCTGCTGTCTCGGGGTGAATCCTCTCACCCACGGCACCTCTGGCCTGTATGCATAAATAAATCTTTAAAAAAAAGAACTTAAAAAAAATAATTGAAAAAGGATACCCAACTAGAGAATCTTTGGCCCAATAATAATTCCTTGAAGAGCTCAATTTTAACTGTTTCATTTCACTTTCACAACTGATCCTTCCCATTAAAGTTTCTAGAAGGGGGCCTCCCCGGTGGCACAGCGGTTGAGCGCTGGGTTGCAAAGCTGCCCGCGGCCTTGGAGGCGCCGGGTTCGATCCCCAGCTGCTCCCCGGCCACCAGAGGAGGGTCCCACATGGCGCGCAGACCTCTCCTGCCGCCCGCTGCTCCCCTCAGCAGTGTACTTCGGTCCTTCTGCCTGTTCTGCTCCCTGCTCTGGCCCTGGTGAATTCTCTCACCCTCCCGCGCTTCTGACTGTACCCAGTGCATGTATAAACAAAAAAACAAACAAATAAATAAATAAATAAAACATGCCTCTATTAAAAAAAAAAAAAAAACCGAAGAGAAAAAAAAAAAAATACCTAAGAGGGCTTCTTACACACAGATGTGTTCAACATACATTTGAATGAAAAACTGATATGACTCCCTTAATGTTTGTGTTTTTTTTTTAATGCCTCAAATGATAGGGTCTTTTCACTTCAAAATATCTAAGTATGTAAAGTTGGTAACACTAATTTCTCCCAAAGAAAGAAATTTCTGGGTCTCCCTGATGGCACAAGGGGTTAAGCACAGCACCATGAGGCTATCCGCAGCCTCTATAGTGCGAGTTTGAGCCCCTAGCCGGCCAGGAAGCTACCAACATGTCGCAGCAGACCTCTCCTGACTCATCTGCTGCTCCCCTCAGCAGTGTATTTTGGTCGATCTGCCTGTTCGGTTGCCCACCGTCTCCACTGAGTCCTCTCACCCCAGCCCCGGCCCCGCACCTCCGGCCTGTACCCCAATTCTTGTATGCATAAATAAACCTTTAAAAAAAAAAAAAAAAAAGAAATTTCTGTTACTAGTAAGTTAATAAACCAAAACTCAAAAAATTCCAATTATCTACAAAGAATTTTAAAACTAGGGAGGGAAGAGCACAAGGGATTATGGTAATGGTGCACAGGTAAATTGGTGGTGGGAATTATATGGGGACTACACCTGAGAGAAAAAAGCGTATATTGTACAAAAAGGAAGAATGATTTAAAATACATATTTAAAAAAGGAAAATTTTAGGGGCCTCCCTGGTGGCACAACAGGTTAAGCACCGCACTATGAAGCAATCCGCAGCCTCTGCAGCGAGTTCGATACCCGGCAGGCCAGAGAGCAACCCACATGGCGAAGCAGAACTATCCTGACTCCCCCACTGCTCCCCTCAGCAGTGTATTTCAGTCAGTCTGCCTGTTCTGTTCCCCACTCTGTCTCTGGTGAACCCTCTCACCTCCTGCATCTCTGGCCTGTACCCCAGCTCTTGTATGCATAAATAAATTTTTGAAAAAAAATTAAAATAAAGGAAAATTGTAAAAATGAAAAAACACCAACACAATGAGCAACTCAAAACAGGAAACAACTTACCGTTTTGCACCTTCCTTTTGCAGATTTGAAATCCAGATTCTCACACAATCACCAGCCTTCACTTCTGTTTGGTTCAATAGCATACACACAACTGAGTCTTTCTTTCGCTAATAAGCATGAGTAGAAAGCACACTGCTCTTATTCTGCTTTCTAACTATCAAAGGTGCAGAAGTCCTCACAAAAATCCTTTTAAAAAATAAACTTAATTTTTCTGTACAATAGTTACTGTAAAAGCTCCTATTTTGCTCCCCACCCCACCCCAACACCATACTTCAGCATGAATTTTAAACAGCTTGTTCCCCAAATGGGAAGGGCTTCCTATGTCTTGATGGGACTGGAAGGAATTAAAACATGCTAAAACAACCCATTTCCAAACAGGTGAGATACCATCAGCGTGTGTGCTGTTGCAGGAAACAGAAGGGAGAAACGGTGACTGGGAGCCTCTGCACTTCATATCTGCAAAAGAAGAGAATGAGAAGGTTAACCTAACTCTAGGCTGCAAAGAGAGGGTCTTCTTCGCCTGTTTAAATAAAAATGCCCACGAACATGCAACTCAGAGTTGCACGCGGGTTAGCAGAGACAGACTTGGTGGGCCAGTTCAACCTCTGTCCTGGATACATCCATGTAAATCGCAGCTACGGTCCTGAGCGTCCGCATTTCCACACTTTCCCGACATACCCACTTGATACCTAAGTTAAAAACAAAACCCGACCCCTTTAGACTTCAAACTTGTGCGCAGCCACACGCGCCTCCCCATCTGAACAGCTACGAGTGAGTAACAGTCAAAGGCTTCTTTTACATAAACGCTCTTCCCTCAGCGGAGTGACAGATAACCTTTTCGGAACCCCAGGGTTCACACCCCTTTCTCCACGTTCTTTCAATCTAAAGGTTAATGTGAGGACAACACTGCCCCCCGCCCCTCCCAGCACCCGTTCCCGGCACAAAATCTCCCGCCCGGGGCCACCGACGCCCGAGGGCGGCCGAGCGCGGGCGGGGTCGCGAGCGGAAGGAGGGGGGCCGGGGGGGGCGCCCCGGGGAGCGAGGCCCCGCAGCTCGCGCCCGGCGAGCACCTGCCGGGGGCGCCCACCTGAGCCGGGGCGCGGGGCGCGGGGCGCGCTCCCTCCCGGGGGTGCCGCGGGCGTGCGGGGGGCGCGCGCGGTACCTTTTGGACAGATCCATGAGGACCCCGGAGAAGAGCCGCTCCCCGCGGCGGAACGACACGACGAGCGCGTCCTCGATGATGTGGTCCAGCGTGACGCGCACCTCGGAGCCGGGGATCAGCTGCGACACCGCGGAGTCCCCGCCCGCCGGCGGCGCGAGCGCAGGGGCGGCGGGCTGGGGCGGCGGCGGCCGCGGGGGCGCCTCCGGGGCCGGGGCGGCTCGGGCGGGGGCGCGCGGGGTCGGGGCCCTCGGGGGGCGCGGCGGGCGGCTGCTCCTCCGCCTCCCGCGCCGGCCCCGCCGCCTCCGGGCTGCGGGCGGGCTTCCCCGGCGGCGGCGGCGGGAGCGGCGGCGCGCCGGCCTGAGGGGAGGACGGCTGCCCGTCCGCCTCGCCCGCCGGCACGGAGGCCTCGGTGGCCGTCACCGGGAGGGGGTCGGCGCCGGCCTCGCTGCCCGGGATGGGCTCCATCTCCGGCTCGGCCTCGCCGGCGCCCCCCTCCCCGGGGGACGCCGCAGTCGCTGCCGCCTCTGCAGCCACGGCCGCCATTTTCTTGCTGGCTTCTCCCTCCTCCAACTGGGGCGGCGGCGGCGGCGGCGGCGGCAGCGCTGCTTGGTTCCCTCGGCCTTCCCCTCCCTCTCGCCGACAGTCGCGGCCCGCCCTGGCCCTGAGGTTCGTCTTTCGGCCCACGCCATTGGCTGCGTCCTCTACCCCTCCCGCACTCGCGAGATTTCATTGGCCCAAGGGGGACGTCTGTCATCTGGTTAATCCAGCCCTCCCAGGCAGAATAGGAACTTGTCATTGGCCGGAACAGCTGTCAAACGTGAATCTCTGGGGAATACGGGGGCGGGCTACACAGGCGTAGCGGGGGGAGGCACAAAAGCAGAGGCCTCTTCCTATTGGCTAGAAGAGATAATAAAGATGGCTGGTTGGCCTATGCACCTGCCTGTTATCAGTCAGGCTTTCCAAGGTGGGAGAAAGGAGAGAATCACGTGGCGTGCCAGTTCTTTCAAAGGCGACAGAAGGGAGGAGTAACACGAGAACGTGGGCGGGGAGCGGCTTCCCAAGCACCCCTGCGCGGAGGTCCTTAGAATAAATGTTATTTCTAGGCGCGGACCTGCTTGCGGCCGCGTGTGGGCAAGATAAGCATCTTTGGGAAGGGCAGCAAAGTTTGATAATGATTCCACAAACGCTTTGCGATTGGTTATGATGCTAGGCGCTATGCTGGGTACTGGGGCTAGAAAGATGTGCAAGACGTTCTCCATAACCTCGAGGCAGCGGCTCCATTACCGCGCCCCCCTCCCCCAGCCCCCAAACACAAGGCGTGCCTTCCTTAACTCTTCTCCACTTTCAAGGAACAACACGCCTACTAATTTCAAAGTAGGAAAATGCTAATGAAAAGAGAAGAGACACGAGGCATACTTGATTAAGCTGATGAATGTTCCAGAGAGCAGCCCTGAGGCATTGCTGAACTTAACCAAGGAACACTGCTTGGAAATGGGTGCACCTGGCTCCTTGCTAGGGCGTTTTTCTTTACTGACCTCTCCTGTGCCACGGGTGCAAAAGGTCTGTCTAGTGTCTGATGCCCCTACTTCTCTATTTCCACTTTAATTCTTTTAGTTTGTTAAGTCTGGAAGACTCTGCTGAATCCATTTCGCACAAATTGCACCACAGAGTCAGCCTTTTCTCCAGAAGAGATGGTACAAGCTAAGAATGCCCAGAGAAGAGAGGGAAGAAAAGTTGCTGGCATTAACAGAAGTAAAAAATAAATTCTATAAAAATAAAATATAATTTATTGAGCACCTATATCTTCTATGTGCAGTAGTACAGATACTTAGTATAACTTAATGTAACTTAACACTTCTGTGAGGCAGGTACTACTGTAACAGGGTGGTCCCCAGGAAAGGGGGAAGTTCCAGGTTCCCTGCCCCACCCAAGGGAGGGTGGAGCTGAGCAGGAAGAGGAGAAGCTGGAGACTGAGGAAGGAAGTAGGATGGAGCCAGGAGACCTGGAGGAGGCGCATGGAGCCTAGAGATACGTAAAGAAACTGCGCTTGTCTTTTGGTCGTGGACTGGGTGACACAGATGTGGGTGAGACCCGTGGGGAGGTGACAATGGCAGCTTTTATTTTAATGTTGATTTTGCTCTTTTCCTTCCGGGCTTTTGTGATTGTTTGTGACCCTTTTCTGTGGGTCCCCACTGGAAGATGCTTTAGACTTGTGGCAGGCTTTGGGGCCTTGCTCTGGGCCGATCCCATTTGGATGGAGTTTTACCCACGAGGGGATGGGTAACTTTGGGTGTTTCATTTAGAAACTAGATTATTTGCTTTTCCTGTATTGTTTCCTAGTTTTATTAAAGTTCCTTCTCATTAAAGTCTCATATGTTTTGTGTTGATGCGGCGGATGGCCGAACCCATTTAGAATAGGCAGGTTTGCGGGGTTTGGGCTGCCCCTCTCCCTGTCCTATAACACTACTACATGGGTACAAAAATTTTAAATAGATTTATATTTATATAATAATTTCATAGAGAAATCCAAGCCCAAAGACAAGGCCAAAGTCCCTCAACCAGTAAATTGCAGTCAAAATTCCAATTTTACATTGAAAGAACTGAAAATGGCAAAATGCAAATATCACCACAGGTTCTGCCTATTTCAAGCCATGGCTCATCAAGCCAGTCAGGATAGGTTCTGAAGCTCCAAAGTAACAAAAGGAAATGAGTTTGCTGAGTGCCCACTCTGTGCCAGAATTTTCCCCAGAAACTCTCATTTAAGTTTTTGAGTTAATACAAAATTTAAAAAAAAAATTTTAATCCTGACTTAAGCCTTCTTTACAGATGAGGAAACTAACCCTAAGCTGGATAAAGATCTTAGCAGCTGCAGATAGCTGAAGCAAATCAATCCCATCTAACCCGTGTCTTTCCAAATGCACTACTGTTTCACTAATTCCTTCCCTGAACCAGTGATTTATCTCCTGCAGGCTAAATGCCACCTATAAGGGTTTTCACTATGATCACTATGTCTACATTTCACCATAATCAATTATATGAAACATCATCTAATTTTATATATTCTAGACCCACACCAAGTTTCCTACATTGTATAATCTTCCACAGGGAGAAAAATACAGTTCTGGTCCTAGGACCTGATTATCTCTTGCTGTAATTCAGTAGAAGATGCTGCAGTGAATCACTTAAATTAAGGATTTATAGCGGACTGTGGCTTACCAAGTTACCCTTCTAAATCACCATTTTCATCCGGCAACTCAAGACTCTCTGCTAGCTCCACATTCACATCAAGTATATTCTCTTCTACTTCAGAAGGTCCTCTATTCCTATTCTATCTTTCAAAGTGTGTTTTCCAGTACTCTTAAAGGCCCCTAACACTGACAAAATCTGGCTGTGCTTCCTTCATCTTTTTATTCACCATTCATTCAGCAAATAAATATTGATGGTCTAGTAGGTGTCAGGAATGGGTTAGGAATGCAGATGGCATGCAGAATGAACACATAAAACGTAGTACCTGGGGCCTCTCTAGTGGCGTAAGGGGTTGAGCGCAGCACTGTGAAGCTGTCCTCAGCCTTTGCAGCATGAGTTCGATCACCGGCCAGGGAGCTACCCACATGGTGCAACAGACCTCTCCTGACTTGCCCACTGCTCTCCTGAGCAGTGTACTTTAGTCTGCCTGTTCTCTTCCCCTCACTGTCTCTGGTGAATCCTCTCACCTCCCACACCTCTGGCCTGTACCCCAGTTCTTGTAATCATAAATAAATAAATCTTTAAAAAAAAAAAAAAACTTAGTACCTGACCTCCTAGAACTTATTTTTCTACATAGGGAACTAGAAAACAAGCAAAAAAAATGAACAAACCAAATTACACACTGTGAACAATGCCATAAAAAAAAAAAAAACAGACTAAGGATGTGTAGTGGCTAGGGGAGAGAGTGGCTCCTTTAAGTAAATGGTCAGAAAACTCCTTTTGAAGGACAAGACATTATAGCTAAAATGCAAAAGATAAGAGGGGCCTCCCAGGTGGCTTAGGGGTTAATTCTCAGTTCTATCATAGCTATGGCCTGAGTTGGATCCCTGGCCAGGGAGCTAACCCACCTATGGCACTGCAGACCTCTCCAGTCTGGCCCCTTCTCCCCTTAGCAGTATTTCAGTAAAGTCTGCCTGTTCTGCTCCCCACTCTGTCTCTGGTAAATTCTCTCACCACCCCCACCCCTCATACCTCTGGCCTTCACCGTAGTTCTTCTATACACACACACACACACACACACACTCCATTTATTGACACTGCTGGAGGAACTTTTAGGTCAAAAGGAACAATGCAAAAGTCCGAAGGCAAAAGAGGGCTTGACTTATTCCTGAAACAGGAAGGAGAACAACTAAAGAACAATGAGCAAGAAGATGAATGAGATAAGGTAAGGAGAAGACAGGAGACAAATCCTGTTTTATGTGTTGCAGATTCAAAAAAAGAGTGTCTGCCCTCAGGGCGATCCAACTCTAAGTGGGAACCCAGATCTTACCTGTGCTATTGTTTCCTGCCCACCCTGCATTTATTGGTACAGAGGAGGCCTCATATGTTTGATGAATGGGTACCCACAAACATGGTCTGAGGTATCGGTGGCTAACTGCATGATTGGTTAGAAGGTATCTTAGTCTGTTCGGGCTACTAGTGTTGGGGGAAATGATGTCCTGAGCTAATCCCATACAGGCTTTGTGGACCCCACCCCCACTCCAGACTAAAGCCATCAAGACATTGGGAAAAACAAATCCCATCACCACCAAAGGGAAGGTGGCTGGGACCTAAGGGTGGAGTTGGGCAGCCAGGTTGGATATAAAAACCAAACACGTGGGCCTTGGGGGGGGGGCTCGCTATCGCTCGCTTCCTGGCTTCACGGCTCCTGGCTTGCAGCCAGCTCTCAGAGCGCCATTTTGGGATTCCTGATCGGTGGATTGGGTAGGACGCATTTAAAACTTTGTCTCCCACTTTTCTCCCTGAGCTGTGCATTTCCTCATTTCCCCTTCCCTTGTAAATAAACCTTTTATTAACCTTTCGCGTGTGCCTGCAGTAGAGCATTGATAAGTCCTTTTAAGCGTGCGGGTGAGGACCCACAGTCAGGCACCCCGTTTTGTATCGGGGTTGCTCTACAACACTAGGACAAAAAACCACAGACTGCGCAGCTAATAAAAAGCAATTCTGGAGGCTGGACATTGTAGTTCAGGGTGCCAGCATGGGAACTAGGGATTGCCTCCAGAGTCTCCTTTACAAAACCACTAATCCCACAATAGCCCTCTGACCTAGTCCTAATTCCCTACCTCCTAATATCATAATCTCGGGACTTAGATCAACATGGGTCTACCTGGTGGTGCAGGGGTTAAAATGTCAGCGTGTCACCAGCCACGGCGGGATGAGTTCAATCCCTGCCCAGGGAGCTGACCTGCCTGGCACAGGTAGATATACTGAAATACACTGCTGAGGGGAGCTGCTCCATGTGGCTCACCAACCTGGCCGGGAATGAATCTGTTATAGGACAGGGAGAGGGGCAGCCCAAACCCCGCAAACCTGCCTATTCTAAATGGGTTCTGCCATCCGCCGCATCAACA